AATTATTCATACTCAATTCTTCGACACAGAACACCATATCTATATTTTGCATCTTGGAAACAAGAATCCAAATATTCATTTCTATATATAAGAAGAAATTTCTAACAGGTTTGACAAATTTCGTGTTAATGTGATTTAACTTAATTATTTAAATTACATTTTTGACATTTATGTATGATAAGTGGACTGTGCAAATTTATGAATACAGATGCATTAGAGACGTTCCCGATTATTTTTGAATTATTAAAAACAAACAGATAAAAAGTTCTCAATCTAGTGGCACAGCGACGATATAGCGTTCTGTGTTGAATAAAATCAACGTACGTGAAGAAAACTCGACAGAAATTTATTAAATCGATTTTCCCTGAGTGGTGGTGTGCTATCCTGAACGCTTGGTGTCCTCGTGATCTATCACTAAGTCGTCTTATCATCGCGTTTATTGTACAAAGTAAGCCTAGAGGTTACTCTCGGTTCCCTTCGTCAATCTTCGATCATACGAAACTCGTCTTTCCGTAAAAATAATACTTTCCAATCAAGAACACAATGTGGTAATGCTTGAAAATCTCGTTTCCTACGACAGAGCAAAAAATATTAACATGTGAAAGCTTACTAACTAGACGATCTTTGAAAAGAAAAAAGAAAAGAAAAAAAAAAAATTATTAAAGTACAGATATCTTTTTCAAATGGAAAAAGAAACTGTTGCATTGGTATCAACACTATGGTATTGGTGGTGCCATTGCTACCAATATCATTTGATCCATTAATTTAATTTTGGTGAACCGGGAGACAGAAAACTAGTCTCACCATTATATAATTACAATCTAATTTCAATAATTTAATTTCGTTCGTACAATCCTAAGTTTGAGCGAAAGTCTTCTAATCGAATCTTTTGCAGTTCAATCTCTTCAACAATGATTCTTTTTTTTCTTCGGTTTTTTTTTTTTTTTTTTTTTTTTTTTTTGATTATATGTCCCGTATCGACAAAGATTAAAAATTCAATACTCTTGATCTAGTCGAGTTGAATCGTGTGCTGCCATCAAGAAAGGCAAGATACAACCAAGAAACGATGGCAAACAAAACCCTTATGCGAAAACGAAGCGCGCGTTTTGACATTCTGTTTGCACGGAATTTCAACTTCCGTTTTATTAACGTAATTCCATCTAAACCATTAAACATCATCGTATTATGAAGAAACAATTGTTCGACCCGTTTCACAGCCATTTTTCTTTTCATTGATGGAAGGCAGTGCTCGAATCATACACATTTAAAGTATTACAGTATAAGTTTTACATATATAAGATTAGAATATATATATCGGTCTGGCCGTGAAACGGGTCAATTACGAGACATTTACATTGTTTAATATTAAAGGTGTAGCCATGTGCGACTGTGTCGACAGTGGTGCGCTGAAGAAAATCCGAGAAAACGAATTTTTCATTTGTTCATTCGTGTTAGATGACGGTGACGAAACGTCTAGAAAAAGAGATGCCTTCGTAGAAAAAGAAACGGGCGACTTTGTCGTACCACCAGACTCATACGCAATATTTCTCGTTCTTGTTTTTTTTTTTTGCATTTTTCGTCTTTTTTTTTTTAATATAAAATGTACACCTACTTCGTTTTATTATTGCTATTCGTCGCGATAGATTAACTTACTTATCTAAAATTTGTACATCTGCGGTTTTACTGTTTACATCACACGTTGCCTATGACAATGATGGATGATAATGATGTAAAGATTGTCTCAGACGTGCTCGATGATGTGCAACCAAAAAAAAAGAGAAAAAAACTGTGCTTCGACTTTTATAGATTGTTTTTTCGTTCGAATTTGCAAGGCTTTTATTTCATCGTGCTTGATTCGTGGACTAACTTAATCTTCGATTCGACCTGATAAAACCACGCTCTCTCGAACATTCGCTGAAACGCAAATAGAAACGTATAAACTCATGGATCAGCTCTATTCGTTCAAATGGAATAAAATTGTGAATCACGTGTTTATCGATAAATGCAAATATTTTCTCCTCGCGTAGCGTAGACTTCTTTTTTTCCAGTTAATAGATTTCCAATCTATCGTTGATCACACTTTATCGAGCAGAGACCAGTCAGAGATCCAATCAATCAGCAAAGAAGCACGAAGGACAAACGATTTCCCTGTGTTCGTTTCTTTCTTCATCGAGCCGACGACTACGTCTCACCGTATTTGCTATCATCGGACGTAGCATATTCTTCTTTGCCTTCTACCTATCTTCAGCTAGGTTTCCCAGGCGGTCCATGACTGGGTGGAGAAAGTCCATGTGAATGAAGATTATGATTACTTGCTAGACTTGACATTGCGGGTTGGTACATCGAAGGCATGTAATTGTTCGACGACTGTGGCACTGACCTGAAACGTATCAAAACTCCACCTACTTTTCACAGAAAAGCATATAACTATATATTTCACTCGGTCATATTTATATTTCCAATCCTAAGTTTCTTCAATTAAATCTGATGTATTAGGAATCGCAGATGAAAAACATGGTAGCTCATATTTTTTTATTTTAATATGTGTGT